CATTTTATCCGTGCTAATATTTGTCCTATTAATTTGATCTAACATGCTGCTTAAGTCTGGTATTGTTTTGTTTTCTCGGAATAAAAATTTCTCTTTCATTTGTTTTCTTTTATCTTTCCCTATCAAGAATAATACTAGCCGGTTCTGATGTAGCAGTTTACTGACAACCGGCTTATCATAGCCGGTTCTGTAAAAGCCGGTGGTGTGACAATCGGTAAGTTAAACCTTTCGACCACCGCTCCTAAAACTCACAAGCACCTTCTATACCATGCGCCCCGCTCCCTAAACCTCGAATACAAACGAACAAACAAACAAACAAACAATCGATTTGATTGGATACAATCGAAAGTACCAGTGTGAAACCCCGGCGTCGGAGCGGCCATTGAAGCCGCTATAGTGGAACTAACTATCGCACGCACACATTGCTCCAGCGGGGGAGGGGGAGGGCATTTTCTGCCCCTAATGACTGCGTTTAGGTAAACAGCGTAGCTGAAAAGAAACCCCTTTGAAGAAGGCCGCCAGCGCCGAGTGATCGGTTAGCGGAAACCACTTAGTGCGGCGAGCGGGTGGTGTATGGTCGCATAATTCGATTCCTTTCTTCGAACACCTCCGCTGGCCCGCGCTGTGATATGCCGTTGACTGGGCTTGTAGCCCATTCACACCCCCTCAAGCCTACTTTAACCCTTCTTTGTCTATCATGATCACACTCCTCCGCCAGTTTTTGACTTCTGCGATTGTCGCGAATAAAATCCGAATTCTTGGAGTTAAAGAAACGGCGAACGAGTTGAACTGTATGAGTTGTCCTCCCTTGCTTGCAGTTTTATCATCTAAAAAAAGGGGGCAACTCTCGGTATAAAGACGTTTCCAAATGAATAGTAATCGCTTTAATGCGGCTCTCCTTTGATGTGCGGGCCCGTTCGGCTCGTAAACCCACAGGACGGTGGGAATTTGGGGGATATTAAAATAAAAAAAAAATAAAAAAAAAAAAGTTCAGTTGGCCGTCGTGTGTACCAGCTTAACCTGGCGTGACTTTGTCAACTCTGTCACCGCGAGGATGACTTAAGTCAGAAATGAGTGAGTGAAGTCATTGGTGACTGGAGTTGTTGCAGTCATAATGAAGTCAAAACATAGCTCACCGGTCAGGTCAAGACTCCCCTCCCCAGCCCCACCTCTTGAAGCTCATGTATTAATTTATTCTAAAGCACCTCCCCAGTAGCACATACCTGTACCATTATGTACATCCACCAACCCATCAGTCAGCTTATACCGGTATACATTTGATACCATAATCTACCAAAAAGCTGCATAACTCATCTCTGTTATGGTCATGCGCCACTAGCCTCCCTTTGTGAATGTTTTCAAGTTAATCTCCCTTGTCATGGCATACGTAGGGGTTGAGCGGCGGTCTAAAGACGGGAATCATGTGACATTAGGGCACTGATTCAAGCCACCCCTTCACGTGGAAGCTCCGAGCTAAAGTCTGGGGGAGCAATGAAAGGACTGGTTGGTCGGCCTGGAACATTTATTGAGTCATAAAATTTGCCGGTATGGGAGGGAAGGGGGTGAGGTTTAGTTCCAAGGGGGTCCGGGTAGGGGACGTCGTAGGTATGTACCGAGTGATCCCGAGTAGAACTATTACACAGGTGTCGCAGAGCTGGGTGGGGGGGGGGGGGTCTGAGACAAATGTCTATAGTACTGATCTAATCGAGTGTATCAATTAGGGCCGGGTTATTCGGTGCATGTTGACGCTACGTATAGGTGAGGTTGGTTAGGTGTGTTCCACGTGGGGGGGGGGGGGGTATAGTAACGTTTTTTATCGTATCGCTTTCATAGTCCAAATACTTGAATAAAACCCTAACCCAACCCAACCTCTAAACAGGACAAAATAAGCCAACCACATGGTCACCACCACATGGTCACCACCACACGGTCACCACCACCACACGGTCACCACCACCACATGGTCACCACCACATGGTCACCACCACACGGTCACCACCACCACACGGTCACCACCACACGGTCACCACCACACGGTCACCACCACATGGTCACCACCAGACGGTCACCACCACCACATGGTCACCACCACATGGTCACCACCACACGGTCACCACCACCACATGGTCACCACCACATGGTCACCACCACACGGTCACCACCACCACACGGTCACCACCACACGGTCACCACCACACGGTCACCACCACACGGTCACCACCACCACGTGGTCACCACCACACGGTCACCACCACCACATGGTCACCACCACACGGTTACCACCACCACATGGTCACCACCACACGGTCACCACCACACGGTCACCACCACACGGTCACCACCACCACATGGTCACCACCACACGGTCACCACCACCACACGGTCACCACCACACGGTCACCACCACACGGTCACCACCACCACATGGTCACCACCACATGGTCACCACTACACGGTCACCACCACCACACGGTCACCACCACCACATGGTCACCCCCACACGGTCACCACCACCACACGGTCACCACCACACGGTCACAACCACCACACGGTCACCACCACACGGTCACCACCACACGGTCACCACCACACGGTCACCACCACACGGTCACCACCACCACATGGTCACCACCACACGGTCACCACCACCACATGGTCACCACCACATGGTCACCACCACCACATGGTCACCACCACCACATGGTCACCACCACCACCACATGGTCACCACCACCACATGGTCACCACCACCACATGGTCACCACCACATGGTCACCACCACATGGTCACCACCACATGGTCACCACCACCACCACATGGTCACCACCACACGGTCACCACCACCACATGGTCACCACCACCACATGGTCACCACCACCACCACATGGTCACCACCACCACCACATGGTCACCACCACCACCACATGGTCACCACCACACGGTCACCACCACCACATGGTCACCACCACCACATGGTCACCACCACCACCACATGGTCACCACCACCACCACATGGTCACCATCACATGACAAACGCTTTGATGTGTCTACTAGATGAAAGTAAACTAAGAAGTAGGGGAGGGGGGGCTTTACCTTAAAACACCTTTTTCTAAATCTAAATTGGCGTTACACATTTTTCCCCACTGTATTTGTAAACGCTTATCTTCGTAACACATTTCAAATTCAAATAATTTGAAATTCATGTATTTTAAAAATGTTTTTCGTGATGACGAACATGAATGTTTTTAAAATGTTTTGTCCTTCCCCCCCCCCCCCCTTAACAACAGCATCAGTTCTTGATTGTAGTGTTGGAATACATTACGCGTTAACCTGTTGTGCGCCATACATGTCTGTGTCTCCAATTTCATACCACTTTTCTGGATACGCTTCTACATCATCCATAGCCTTTATCTTAGAAAGAACAAACGACAAGGTAGCAGTCAGTTGTTTCCTCTCGTAGACGGATTGCTGTCCCCAGCTATTGAGCCTTAATGACCGGGGGATTCAAACGCAGGACCTTTCGGTTTAACAACCATGAGCTTTACCGACTCGAACACGCCGACCCATCAGGCAGCTCTAACCACTAAGATTGTGTGTGTGTGTGTGTGTGTGCATGTGTGTATTTGTGTATGTATGTGGTGGTTAGACATCTATGCATATGGGCCTATATATTATGGCGTATATCTTCACACAGAAAGCCAAAGCAAAAGATACAGTTTTAGAACTACGAACTTATGAATATATTTTGTCTCTAGGTGTGATGTCCGCAACACGCCATGATCTAGAGATGATGTACAAGAGTTGAGTTGGTCTAAGGAGAACTTATCCCAAAATGTCCCCCCTTTTTTCTGTCCCAGGTGTCTCGCCGGGAAATGTTTTACAGACCGTCAGCCTCAGCCACCTCGTCCCTCGCGAGATCAAGCGCGGTGTTTGAACCTGAGACTGGGCCATTAATTAATTGCCCCCCGCCCCATGACTTAATTCTATGTTAATTAACCTCTCATAAATCATAATTGTTTCCCAACCCCGGCTTCAAACCGACTTCCGCCTTGAACGACCAGAAAATAGCCATCATTCCGACCGCATTTGGGCTCTTCTAAGGCCGAGAGGGGCCCCTGGGGAGCAATAACCCCCAACTGCCAGATAACCGACGCTCCTGACAATTTCATCCCGCCGGAGTAAACGGTTTTCCTCTGTTAGCCAGCCATCAACTCGCCCCTCACACTGACCGGAACTTGGCTGCAGAACTCGCCCCGTTTCTGATTAGCAGACGTCAATTTCCCCTCCCCGATTTCCTGATACAATAAACAAAGGGAAACAACAACATTAAGAAAAGTTATGGAACGTTTCAGCCGCGTCTCGCCTACAACAACACTGGCGCTGTTTTCCTCCAATCAACGACCGCGTCTCAAATCGACGCGTTCAGCCACGCCTTATGACGTAGTTAACCCCGCCTTTTAATCACAGGCGCGAGACTGAGCGAGTGTTGTGACTGCGAGGCCGCGGCTGATTTTTCCCCGATTGATCAGCGCTGGGCCAGCTCTTGTAAGCTGTTAGCTCCGACTTGCGGCTGCCATCTCTCCCTGTTCGCCTCACGGAGCCCACTCAAAGGCCATCCTGTGTGGCCCTGGCCCCATCACCACACCGTGTCATTGAATCAAGAGCTTCAGACAGCCAGCTCAATAGCCTGTGTTCTCTAGATCGAGATACTAGATCTCTAGTGACGATAGTATTGGATTCTTCTTTACTTACCTAGAAAAAAAATCTACTTGCAGACGTCAAGTCGACAATTTAGGCTGATGCATGTTGTTTGGATAAATAGCCCGATTAGAGGTATTTAAAAAAAAAAGATTAATCATTTAACTATTTAAACTGTCAGTATTACACAGCTTGAGTTTCTAAAGTAATTTTTGTATCGACTGCTGATATCAATCACTGAGTAATAACTCGCACATTATGCCATAAGTGGTCGACTCTGGGTAGTCGTGACGTCATCGTGAATGCGTGATCACGTGCTTTCACAGACCAGAACGCCCGAGCGCCCCTTCCATTTGATATTTGGTGGCGCCCCATCCTCCCCACCCATGGACGTTGACGCCAGCCTCCGCCAGCACTACCAACACCGCTCCCCCCTCCAGCGCGTGGAGCCGTCCGGCCAGCAGGAGAGGGATGCCAGAAGCTTCCTCATGATGCCACCCCCACAGAACCGTCTGGCCTGCAACCCCGGGCTCAACCACAGGAACCCCCCGAACCCCAGCATGAGAACCCCTGAGAAACAGGGTTCGGACCCCAACCACAGTGCCGACAGCGGCCTCAACGACAGCGCCAACAGCTTGGATACGTCAGAGGGCGCCGCAACGACGTCAGACGATGACGTCACGAAACATTACGATGACGACGACATACGGATCTCGTCAAACGACGATGACGACGGCCTGAAACACTATGACGTCAGTGACAGCGAGGATTCGGGGAGGAAATCCCACCCAGCACACCATGGGGGCGGGGACTGTCGAGGTGAGTTCTAGTTTTATACAGGAAATGCTTGTTTGCTTGTCATCAACTCACATCCTGTCTGTTAGGTTTTTTTTTTGCTTATGAGAACAAAAAATCAATTTACCCCACCCCCTCCAAAAATCCATTTTATCCCTTCCCCCCCTGCCCCCACTCCCCTAGACCTGATGCAATGTTAAAGCCATCCCAGCTTGCTAGCACCTAAAGTTCATGCTTTAGTTTCCATAACTCAACCAATAATATCATAAAACGTTCACATACTTGTCTAGCAAGGCCTACATTATCCATCCTTGGTAAAAACGGGGACATCAACTTGTAAAAATACAAACATCAACTTGTTAAAATTCGGACATTAGATTGTTCTAAATGCTAATGTGCTAGTGTGAATAAATTATGCACATCAAAGCAGGTTGTTTTTAAAACACCTACTTCACCTAAACAAAAACTAAACATGTAAGTCAGTACAAACATTCAACGTGTTAGAAGTAAAAAAACTAATGATATCAACAGGGTGCAAGGGGCGGTAGAATATGAAGTTGACAAACGTCGCTTACTTCTGATTAATAATACAAATATAACCACCAAGTTACAAAATCTAGACACCACATTGTTAAAAAATCTAAACACCATCTAGTTTAAAATCTAGAACAACCTATTTAAAAAAAAATCTAGAAACCACATTGTTAAAAAAAATAGACACAATTTAGTTTAAAATCTACACACCACCTACTTTTAAAAATCTAGACACCATCTAGTTTAAAATCAAGACATCACATATTTTAAAAATATCTAGACATACATATGTTTATAAATCTAGACACCATCTATTTATAAAAATCTACACACCCCTAATTATAAAAATCTAAACACCAACTAAAAATCTAGACATCACCTAGTTATAAAAATTTAGACACCACCTATTTATAAAAATCTAGACACCACCTAAAAATCTAGACTCCACCTAAAAATCTAGACACCACCTAAAAATCTAGACACCACCTAAAAATCTAGACACCACCTAAAATCTAGACACTACCTAATTATAAATCTTAGACACCACTAATTATAAATCTAGACACCACCTAATTATAAATCTAGACACTACCTAATTATAAATCTAGACACCACCTAATTATAAATCTAGACACCACCTAATTATAAATCTAGACACTACCTAGTTATAAATCTTAGACACCACTAATTATAAATCTAGACACCACTAGTTATAAATCTAGACACTACCTAGTTATAAATCTAGACACCACCTAATTATAAATCTAGACACCACCTACTTATAAATCTAGACACCACCTAATTATAAATCTAGACACCACCTAATTATAAATCTAGACACCACCTAGATCTAGACACCACTAGTTGAAAAACGTGCACTGCCACCAAACACCAGTTAATTCCACAGACACCAAACACCAGTTAATTCAACAGACACCAAACACCAGTTAATTCAACAGACACCAAACACCAGTAACTGTGATGTTCTAGGGCTAGAAGACACTTTTTAAAAAATGTGAATAATTATAATACATTAAAATATTAAATTATATAACATCCACCTGCATGCTAATGAGACTTAGCCCCCCTCCCCCCCCCCCCCTTCCCGACTTGCACTGACCGGATTAACAATTAATTAAGTCTCGTGCTAATTTAACATGGCCATCTTAAAACCCATTTCGTTCTGGTATATCAACAAAACCTGATGTTTGATGGTATTTTAACAAAACCTGATGTTTGATGGTATTTTAACAAAACCTGATGTTTGATGGTATTTCAACAAAACCTGATGTTTGATGGTATTTCAACAAAATCTAATGTTTGATGGTATTTCAACAACATCTGATGTTTGATGCGTTAACACATACATAAAGTAGTTTGTTACCATGACTACCTTCATCAAATCCCCCACCCCCAACCCCCACCCTCACACAAGTTGGATAGTCTGATTATAATTGTGTGAAACTGTCACTTGAATCACGGTTGCTGGGGATTATCACGTGACACCAAATCAGTTCGAGACATGGAAATATCTTTGTCACGAGCAGAATTAAAATAATCTTTACAACGTTTTTATTAGCTACAGATTGTCACATTCTTTTTAGGGAAATTTCTTCGAAAATAACCGTAATCAATAAATTTTAAAGGATTGAAGATCTTAATTAATTAATTGTTTATTAATTTTCTAATTTACTCCTTAACACCATTCAACAAGTCTTTCTCTACTTTATATATATATATATATATATATATATATATATATATATATATATATATATATATATATATATAAAATGTGTGTCTATGTATATATAAGTATATTCTGAGAGGTGTGCGGGTAGGGTTTGAATGATTTGTTTCTCACAAATGCTCTAACACCTGTCTCGTATCATGATGATATTTGATCATTAAAAATTATGTACCAAATTTAATTGAGCGAATAATGACGGTATTATATATAACCATTGGGCCAGTTCATGTGGTGGAGGGTTAATGTCATCCATACACCAGTACATTAAGGGTTAACATAAGGCAGTGACTATAGTGTTTGAATCATCATTGTACACCAAACTTGAACTTTTAGCAAATGTGTGACTTAAGCAGGCAGAATTAATTAAGTCTCACGGTACAAACTAATCCTGGATATTTTTCTGATGTCGCTCGTGTTCCCACCCACATTCTACCCCCCCCCCCCCCCACCCACCCCAAATTCACCATTACCCAACTGACATCCATATAAATGAGTTGGAAAGGAGGATGTTATAGGTTGTTATTGGACGTGTGGTTGTTAGACGTGTGGTTGTTAGACGTGTGGTTGTTAGACGTGTGGTTGTTAGACGTGTGGTTGTTAGACGTGTGGTTGTTAGACGTGTGGTTGTTAGACGTGTGGTTGTTGGACGTGTGGTTGTTAGACGTGTGGTTGTTAGACGTGTGGTTGTTAGACGTGTGGTTGTTAGACGTGTGGTTGTTAGACGTGTGGTTGTTAGACGTGTGGTTGTTAGACGTGTGGTTGTTAGACGTGTGGTTGTTAGACGTGTGGTTGTTAGACGTGTGGTTGTTAGACGTGTGGTTGTTGGACGTGTGGTTGTTAGACGTGTGGTTGTTGGACGTGTGGTTGTTAGACGTGTGGTTGTTGGACGTGTGGTAGTTAGACGTGTGGTTGTTGGACGTGTGGTAGTTAGACGTGTGGTTGTTAGACGTGTTATTGTTAGACGTGTGGTTGTTAGACGTGTGGTTGTTAGACGTGTGGTGGTTAGACGTGTGGTTGTTAACTTGGAATATAGACATGATTTTTAATTACTTAAACTTTTAAAAATACGGTCAACGGAAATTACTCAGAATTTGACAGAAGGGAGAGAATTAGATATTTTACTTACATGTGAAATTTCATTTATCTATCTGAAATAGTACTCAAGTTATAGGCTTTTGAAAAATTCAAAGTAGAAAAAGTACCACTTCCGGTTATCGGAAATCGCTCAAAAGTTGATCAGGATCTACGATTTTGATAAAATACTTATAAATGAAATTTGATCAACCTAGCTGTAACGGTACTCAAGTTATCGTGTTTACACACAGACAGACAGACATACGGACAAGATTGCAAAATTATGTTTTCCCGTATCAGTGAGGTATAAAACGTCGAGATTTGTAAAAATCTCGATTTTTTTTTTTTTGCATGATTACAAGACTTTCTCTATACTTCGTATATACGAGAAAGTAAAAATGTGTTGCTGGTGGCTGGGGAATTGGGTTGATGCTGGAGATGTTATTTAAGGTTGCTGGTGTGTGAGAATGGTATACAATATATAGTGCAGGATCTACAAGCTGGGGGGGGGGAGGAGGTGTGGAGGGTGGGGCTGAACTACTTACTGGTGTATGTGATAGACAGATAGGTTGTTCTATGTCAATAAAACTGGAGTAATCTCCCCTAAACGTTCTCGAATATTCTTATATAACACTACGAGGGATGGCAACTCGGGATAGAGACATGATTTTTAATCAGTTTTTACATACTTAAACTTTTCAAAATAGAATAAAATCTCGTAGAAAAAAAGAATTGCGCATCAAGTGAATGACAAACAATCTGTGTATAATAGTGCGGAATACTAGTATGTTATAAATTCATATGCGTTTTTTGAGAAATCGGAAATATATAACTTATATTGGAAATTTCGTGTATCTCTGTGAAACTACTCAAGTTTTAGGATTTTGGAAAACCTTATATATGAAATTTCATCAACCTAGCTTTATCTGTACTCAAGTTATCGTGTTCACAGACATACACACAACACACACAGACATACCGACAAAAATGCAAAACTATGTTTTTTTCCGACTCAGGGAGGTGTGAAACGTCGAGATTTGTGAATAACTTGATTTCAATTGTTTGCACGATTAGAATACTTCCTCTATACTTCGTATACGAGAAAGTAAAAAAAGACGTCAAAAAAAATGACATCACAAAAGCTGACGTCACATAACTGACATCACTAAATATGACATTACAAAAACAGACACAAGAAGCTGACACTTTCAGTTTATGACATTTCAAATCTTTTAGTTCAATGGGCTATCACTGCCCCCCCCCCCCCCAATGGGCTATCCCTGACCAATACCACCCCCACCCCCACTTTAATGCTACTCATCTGTTGGAGCCACCCATACCCTGTCACGTGACGTGTGTCGTCTCACAAACCGGCTGATCATATCACGTGATCTGGTCTAGTTAAAACATGACGAGTACCAAATGGAGCAGCCAATTCAAACAATCAGCCCCGACAGCATCTATCTGTGGGTGGGGACAGTCACGTCACCCCCGCTCGTCAGGGGAGTCAGGCCCCGGGACATCAAAGGACGAGCCTTGACAGCGTCACTGACATGTATGACATGGGTGACATCATGACATCACTCACGTCCAGACCTGCCGGGGGTGCCACGCCCACCTGGTCACGTGTTCCCGTGTGATTAACCGCTCTGATTGTCTTTGACGA